TTGATCTAAGCAACCGTATTGCTTACAAACAAAAACTTGCGTATAAGCAAACTGAAACTTTATGTTTAATAAAGTTCCCCATGCATTTTACTTCTTGTGCAACTTGAGGTATCATCGGCTCATACACGAGGCTTCTCTTCCAGGTATGGACAACATCGCTCCTGATAGGCATAGTTGAAACGCTTGGAACCGAAGCTACATTTCAAACTGTGGATCACCATTGTCTCGTGACGCGTCAGATGGAAACCTCCCTAGATTAGCCGCTAATTCAGCTGTAGACATTGACTATGAACTGATACTGAGATCATGGCTTGCGCCATGTGACAGCTTGCCGTTCGCCTTGCAGGATCTGGCCTTGATTTCGTAAATGCACCATATGCGCTGAGTGCTTCCATAATGAATGGAAACTATATGCTCAAACTATATGTATTATTCTGCCTATTGCGCAAAATAAAGAACAACAACATTTTAATGCGATTGAGAAAAAACTCTCGCGCCGACGACCAATGAAGATGTCATCAACGACCATCACAACAAAGCATGACGATGAAACGTGAAAGAGACAAGAATGGTGAACAGGAATCTGCAACGGGTGTAAAGGTCTATGGGCACATCATCATTTCTATCGACCAGAAATGACTTCAGTTTTTTCCAGTACGTCTTAAGATAACGTCTTATCAATCTTAAAAAAGACCGAAGCTGATTCGAAGATCCAGCTTACTTTTTTATGTCCACTTCTTAATCATTAATGGGTACCATTGAGGACTGAACAGTGGACTAACTTGCCGATATTGCAAGGATAATTTCGTTTCTAGCAGCTACCTGTGTCTTTGTCTTTGAATTCGTGTGATCTCAGGATCATGATCTCAGTATGTTTGATATTGCATCAGTGAATTTATATATATATATATATATATATATATATACATATATATATAACATATATAGACATGTCCTTGGTATTTGCACTCCTGCCTCCTAAAATTCTGTGCCACTGATCAAGTTTGTATTTTTGAATTGGAAAACATCAATTTCATCGAAAATATATTAGTTAAACCTGTGACAAGGATGACGACTATTATTTGCTATTGAGCTTTCGATAATGCACTGTCCATCATTAGTCAATTATTGCATTTATGTATAACACAATCTCATTTCGTCCATATTCAATAGATTTTGCCTTCCCCGCATGCGGTTTGATCAATAAAGATTTCACGCCTTTTAATATTTCAAAAATACATCAATGGTTTCGGCTTTAGGCAGTTCCTCATCCTGTGGATTAGCACGAGCCAGTGTGCTGCAACAGCGCTGCAGCGGTGATGCCGCACACCACCACGCCACCCCGAGCTGCAATCACCTGCTGCCAACCCCCAGCGCGCTCACGACGACCTGCCGCGCCGCCCACGGGCCGCGCAAACAAACCATCACAGCAGGCCTCCAAACGGCGCAGCGAAACCCGAGCCACCAGCCAAACAGCCGAGCACACGCGGCAGCCGTCGGCGACGACGGCTCCCCTTACCGTGTGACCGTCACGCACCGCCGGCCTACACCCTACTCCCCCCCCCCCCCCTCCCGTGTCAGCCCCGCCCATTCCGAACGACGCTCCAAGTTGCTGTGGCCGGTGACAGCAGCCGCAGCCGCTGCGGCGGCCCCGTCGCCTGACGTCACTGCTTGTTTGCCGGCGGCCGGAGGCGCGCAGGTCTGATGGGCGCCGACGGCCGGCCACGCTCCGTCGCGCCGCGAACGCCGCCGACGGCGAGCACGCCGCAAACGTCGCCGACGCACCGGCCGCCGAGGCGCGGTCGTTCCGGTGCGGCACGTTGAGCCACACGACGTTCCGTCGCGGCGGAGGCGCCCGCGGCGCGATTGCACGCGAAAATTGACCGTTAGCGGTGCTCACGCGCGCTGATTGGCTGAGGGCGGATATGGGACGTTCCATGGCGGGCCATCACCCCACTGCAATCTCCGCCCTGCGGCGATTGCAGTCAGGCGGAGCGCGCGCTGGAGTCAATCGTCTTATTTAATCGCCTGGGCCCCCGCCACGCGGCGTAGCCTTTGGCCAATTTCGGTGATCCGGTCGATCGTTCACCAAATGCGGGCGATCACCCCCCTGAGCCGGCGATGGTGGAGAACGGCAGACCGGCTCTGGCTTTAGGCTCACCCCAGGTGCGCTGGCGGCGGTGCGGGCGGCGTGCAGACCAATCAACGCGGTTGCGAATTTGCTCACGGTTTGCTCAGCAATTACGAGCTACGACCGTCTGGCGACACGGGATGGAGTTGGCGGACACCGGGAGGTAAGACAGTCACGTGCATATTGAAAGAGCGTGGCACGAGTCCGAAGCTCGTGCCGGCCGGGGCTCCTGGCAATAGTGCGGCCGCGGTGGGCTTGCGGGCGCACACCTGCCACTAAGTGTGATATCTTATTGGTAGGAGAGATCTCATTGGTGAGATCTCAGGTGGGAGATCTCATTCGGGCGATAGATGGCCTTCAGGTGGCCTTCAATAGACAGGAGGTACTAACTGGCCGACGTTATTGAGGAATCGTTGGATATATTGACAAAACTGTTCATGCCAAACAAAGCTGTTGATGCTGCAGCCCTTAGCAAAGTAGCGTGTGTCGAGTGCCAGGATGTGAGAGCTCGGATGTTTTATCATTTTTAAATATTTTTTAGTAGCAATGTCTGCACGTACTCGGGCCACTTTCTAAATTCACATGCCCTGATGTTTTATGTCCTTGTTTGCTGTACCTTCTTCACTCGTGGCCTTGGGCACACCCTAATACATCGGGTTTTGTCGACGCATCCAGTCCTTCCTCGATGACGTCGTTCGACCAATGCTTCCTATTAAACAGCATCGGTTATAATCTTAATAAAATCTCTGCCTCAAAATGCAAAAAAACCGAGGGCTTCGGGTCTTCCAGGTCTCCAGGAGTCGCATCACAGGTGAGGATATCCCGGTCAGCGGGCAGAGGCATTTCACGTCGGCAAAACCTCGTTTTGCTCTCAAGGTCACTACAAGTACCGTCTCTTGTGGCGAGTATCTGCGCAGCCGAGCAGTGCGTCGCCAGCGAGTCACCACACGTCACCAGCGCGTCACCAACGCGTCACGTCTCGGCTCCGCTGACGGATCCGCATCATTAGCCGGCGCGATATGATCTCGCTCGCGCGCAGATGCGTCCCGCAAGCGACGTCAGGAAATGGCGCCGTCGACGTCGTCCCGGCCGGCTGGCATTCTCTCCGGTAATGGCGCCGTCTGGGCTGGAGGCCGAGCAGCCGATGAGGGGGTCCCAGGGGTGGGGAGCAGGCTGTCCCGCTGCCGCCTGCACAGCCGGCGCGGTGGCTGGCGGACACGGCGCTCCGACACCCGTCGAGAGACGTCAGTGTCATCTCTGGCGTCCTCCGACGTACGAGGCCGTGTAACATGTGCGCGGTGTCGAATCTGTTGCTGATGTGTAGGAGCCGACATCGCCAGTGGCGTAGTCACATTCTTCATTGACTTGCGAGACAAGCTGCCATGCTCGGGAGAGAAATACGCGAGATATTAAGCCAGCAGCAGGCACATTTGCCCCTCCGGGGTCTCCTACCGAAAATGTGCTCATCCTAATAAGGTTTTAGGATAGGCGGAATCGTTAACTTCTTTCCAGATTTGAGATGGAACAGAACTAACGTTTCGTGGGCAGCAGGCTTGCGGTAATGGAAACGACGGAACATGATAATGCAGCGACTTGAACTGAAAACCTCTGGGCTGGAGTTATCGCTGAACCGTTGCTAACTGACATGCCCTTGCGAGCATTACACAAAAGCCCGTGGTTCACTGCTCTTTGAACCAAATACGTTTGTAGTATGGCATTTAAATGAAGGCTGTCATAATATGTGGGCCCTAACACGTGTAGGCCTGCTAGCGTGTCATGTTCTCGCATGCCTCTGTGCGGTTTGTCAACTCTGAGTTCCACGTTGCTCTATCTTTTATATGGCATGCACATCCCGGGTATGATTTAATCAACGCATCCATTCGCGCTTCATAAGTGGGCGTTCCAGGCAAAAACAACGCGCTATTCCGGTGAATATTGCATATTCTGCACCGGGTACACACGCCTTATGCCTCACGGCAAGGGCGTCATTAGTTTTTATCGCTGTCAGTACAAGCAAGGTCCATTTTTGAAACATTACAATGAAAGTGTTGTTTGAAGTGGAATGCAGTCATGCCTTGGCTGTTCGACAGTCATTTGAACCAAAGGCCGGCACTATGCGTGCATGCTGACGCCAACATGTGACACAGAAGAGGATTGCACCATTTCACACATTTTTAGGTACATAAGCACTGAGTGTCCTCGGCGGAGCTGGAGAAACCATTGATACTGGAGCACAGATTTCCACATACCATCACAGTCAAAACCGCTTCTCATCCGGCTTTGCCCTGCTGCCCTGCATTGTCGCGATAGCCCTGTTTAAAGGCTGCGGTTTGCGAAGCGAAAAATGCAGAAGATGCAGGGTCAGGACAGGCCATCAGAAGTGCAAGCTTGACGGTCAGCTGGGGACACGATGCTTATCCTTTTTTTACAGAAGTGTCATATCTAATGAACTAGTCTTCTCGCCCCGCCACCGGCGCAGGAATTACTGCTAATAGCGCTAAGGAGAACGACTCTGGGCTACGTGAAAGGACCGAGCCAATGCGTCATTCATATTAAAGACATATTTAGATGTTCATTTATCTATAGCAAAGGTCCCGGGCCCTTAACCAAATGAGAGCACGTTACTGGAAAGCACGGCGACCAGGTCCTTCTCGGTAACACTCTGCTTCCATGGCGCCCCGGCCCACGGCGGAGCTGGATCAAAGAGAGCGGAGACGGCGGCGGGGGCGAGGGAAGGCCCTGGGGGATGGACCCCGAAACCGAGGGGGTGGAGATGTTCTGAGTCACTCTCCACCCGCCCGAGCTACCCTACCCCAACACGGCACGCGGGAGAAGACAGACCGGTGTCGCAGGCGGCGCGTGCACTGACCTTTCTCGCAGAACGCGCCGCGGAAGTCGAGGTTGCGACACTCGCACGCGGCGCCCGTGTCCGTGCTGATGCATATACCGCCGTGCTGGCACGGGTCGTGCTGGGCGCACGCGTCCACCCCGTTCCAGCGCACACCCTGTATGGAAAGGTCACGAGTTACTGGGGGGTCAAGACGCAAGCTTGCACACGCTACGGCGCACAACATGTATAAAAAGGTTACGGGTCACAGAGGGGTCATCGGCCACGAGATACGTTTGAATGGTAGGCCAAAGGTCAATGCAGGCCGGAGAGTATCTCGCCCATCCCATGTTGCCAGGGGATACATCAGGACGCTGTTCTACGCAAAGTTCAGAGCGTGATCTACCGTACATCCCCAGCCCAACATACAGCGCATCCGCGGAGGGAACGGCAAGTACGTGCCAGTTCAGCACTCCACTTCTTTGACCTGACAGTAACCTCACAGTGCTTCTCCGAAACGAAATGCTTTGCTCGCGAGCACAACTCGTGCACTTGGTCTCAGCCCACGCAACATTGCGCACTGCAGCTCTCGAGAAGTACAGTATTCGGCAGCGCGAGGACCGCCCGTCCGGTGACAACGTGACGGTCCCGTTCGGCGGCGCGAGGACTGCCCGTCCGGTGACAACGTGACGGTCCCGTTCGGCGGCGCGAGGACTGCCCGTCCGGTGACAACGTGACGGTCCCGTTCGGCGGCGCGAGGACCGCCCGTCCGGTGACAACGTGGCGGTCCCGTTCGGCAGCGCGGGGACCGCCCGTCCGGTGACAACGTGACGGTCCCGTTCGGCAGCGCGGGGACCGCCTGTCCGGTGACTACGTGATGGTTGCATGATGCGGAGGAGACTCGGGCGGCGCTTGATCAAAGCAATGGATAAACGAGACGCCGCACGAGAAACGCCGGTGTCTCGGCTCACCCGACCGCGTGCGAGATATAAGCTCGGAACAGCGCAAGCCGACAACATACGGCATCACGTACGCATTCAACAAAGAGTGGTAAATTGTACCATGCCCTTCAAACGCAACCAAACCCATCCTTGGCCTGCTTTCCGTCATGTCGCCAGATCGGCGCAAAAAGGTGAGGTAAAAAGGGAAATGGCGTACGTGACATGACACGATCGCTTTGATCTATGCGTGCCAGAGCGAAACAGCCCAACGTGACAAGACAGATCATAAGCGAGGGAAGTATTCAAGCGATGAGGGAGGGAGGGGGGGAGGGGGTAATAATTTTGATTAGTTCCTTTTCATAATAGACCCATTGATAAGTTTGGTAGATGTCGGCCGATGCACCGTCCCCATCTTCAGTTCACGCGTTTGTGCGACTGAGTCACCTGCACGTACAATGCGTGCATGCCTGAATAGTTGGGGGATCCACGACATTCGCCGATCACTGATCCAGGATATAAACGTGACCCGTTGTAATTACACAGATGTCGATCGGACGATCAGCAGAGAAAAAGTAAACATTTTTGGGCGTATAAAATGGTGAGTCAGTGTCTCCGTGAGGAAGGAAATCAACGTGTGCTTCGACCAGTTCGTGGTTTTGAGACGCAAACATTTGTGTGCAGACTTTCATTCAAAGCCTCAGTTTGTGAACCGCACCAGGCAAACCGCAGAGGGTTATAACCTTCCAACGCACAGACTGCGGCAGGTTTTGGACAACACAGATGATCGGAAGTCCTGAGGGATGAGGCGCCGCCCATTGGCGATCAGTTGCCCCTCGCGCCGGTCCTCAGGACGCTAATCCGGGACCAGACACGCCAGTCCTCGACAAAAGCAGGAGCTCGAGGTCTTTCCTGCTTAATCAAACATACCACCGGAAATTGGGCGAACCATACGGAGTTTAAAACTTTCATTTCACCAGAAATTTTCAAGGTTTTGCTGTTCACAGCTTCAAACATCTTAAAAATGCAGCTCAGGCTGCTCCAACGAGAGAAATTAAAAGTGCAGAGCGCTATTGATCGTTAGAACAGTGTCTTGGCTGAAACCCAAGAGCGTGCCAATTCCCCAAGCATTACCCAAATGGCGGGAATGTAATTGTGATAAATAGTCCAAATACGTACACGCCTCAGCGCACACATACATCCTCATCAGGCGCAAAAAATGCGACGACCTCTCCCCGTTCGCCGTCTTTGTCTTGTCAAATTGTTTGTTCTGAAGTTTAATCATCATAGCCACGTTCCTATGCAGCGGCGTTTTTAGCGCCCGTCTGACGGGTTCTTCACGCTCTGATTCCACCATCGATTCAACACGGAGGGGTCGGCCGGCCGGCTGCGGTCCCTGGAGCTGTCCCGAGGCCGAGACCATGCGACAGATGCGACGCACCGGCGGCAGATCAAGGCATTACCACCGAGCTCGAGTGAGTCCCTCGCCGGCCGGCACGAGACGGCGCCGCGCCCGCCTGTGAGAGCGGCGATACATCGCTGGGCGTCACGGCGTGCTCGTCATGTGGAGGTGTTCAGAACGGCGCCTGGTGCGAGGTTACGAGACTGTCGTGTAAGACCTGGTGGGCAGCAGGGCGGGCGCTGACGAACATATCAGGGCGTAGGGGTGTTGCGTGTGTCGTCATGTAAGACCTGGTGGGCAGCAGGGCGGGCGCTGACGAACATATCAGGGCGTAGGGGTGTTGCGTGTGTCGTCATGTAAGACCTGGTGGGCAGCAGGGCGGGCGCTGACGAACATATCAGGGCGTAGGGGTGTTGCGTGTGTCGTCATGTAAGACCTGGTGGGCAGCAGGGCGGGCGCTGACGAACATATCAGGGCGTAGGGGTGTTGCGTGTGTCGTCATGCGTTATGCTATCGCGATCAGGCGTCCGGCGCGAGCCTCGAGCGAGCGAGCGAGCGAGCCTCGAGCCACCGTGAGCCCTGTAGCGGCGATCGCAGACAACATTCACCCGACGGTCACGTGACCCATCGCATATCCGGACTGCTGTCGAGCACCTTACACGTCCGGTCCCATCGAAGGCCGACATACGGAACACCTGAACAAATGCACTCCTCACATTTAGCATAGTCAGTAGAGCATTTGTATATTCAGCGTCGACGATTGTCTAATACAGTATATCATATGCTACAGTATGTTTCCACAGTTAAGTTACGACATCATTACCTGTGCCTCCTAAATATGTGATGGACTCCACACAGTTTAAATTGCATGTGTTTGGATGAGTAATTATAGCCGGTGCAAAAGTTTTCACATTTGGCGATCTATGTCAGCCGAATGACTCCACAGATCCCAATATTAAGAGGGCCATATTGCGATTTAATGCTTGGTATCATTTCTTACCTGCACATCTTTGTTTCCAATGAGCATACCGAACACCAGACGGAACAGTTATCGAGAGACGCTGTCCAACCAATTTCCTTAACGATGCGATGAAGCATAAACCCAAACGATTGGCAACGCGTTCAAACGCTTGTCAAACACCTTCAGTCAATGGCTTACCTTCGGACAGTCAATGACTTCCCTCATCGACGGAGGGGATCGAACTGCCGCTTAAAGACATGTACCGTGTTCGACGAAAGCCGACGGAGGTTAACCAGCTGGCTCGCCGCGGCCTGACCCCGCCAGCCTCCAGTCTTCCGACCGGTGCGTTAGGCGTCGCCGCTCTGGACGGCCAAGCTGTCGGGTGGGAGGAGTCTCGTCCGAGCCGGACCCGGCGCCAACCGACCCCGACGGCTCCAACGACCGAGAACCGACCCCGACGGCTCCAACGGCCTGTCGTGGGTCTGCACGACACGATAAAGATCCGGCCGCCTCGCGGCGATGGAAAGTTAGGGCAGTCGGCGGCGACATTTTCCTATTTAATGGTTATGACTCGTCCGTTGGTGGCAGTGGCCCACAAGATTTTGTTGGACGTTGACGTACCACGTATCAGTTGCACGAATCGGTCATGTAATATACGAGTAATTCAGTAATAAAGGAATCATTCATGGAAACACCGTTCTCTATTGTGAATATTCAATTTTGGAGGAATAAATGACAGAGTGAGCTGTAAATAACAGGATATCTGTTCAGAGGGGGTTAACTTCTTTCTAAAGACCTAAGCCGCACTAGTTTCTGATCTATATGGTTGCAAAAATACGCACTTTCTCGGGGAGACTATTTCAAGGTCACGCAGCCATCCATAACGTCATAATATCGTCATTCAAATCTTGTCACTCTATTAGTCATGCGGAGATGAAAGACAAGACAAATGTAATTGTCGAGTAGTTCAAATCTGGCGTTCGTGAGCACGATTTCCAGATATAACGGTTGTCAATTGGCTCTTAATCAATGTTATACCATGTACGATGACCTAAAATAATGAATAGCTATGAGTGAGCTTATTTCCTCACGTCTGATCCTTGCTTCAGTATCTTTAAATTTGAAACATCCTCTTTAAACAACCTTTTAGACAACGCACGATGCCAAGAGAAAATGCCTATCCAGGAGTACTGACCTCTCTTCGACCTTAGAGCTTCAAAAATGCTGCTTATGAAGCTGATGCGCTAAATGTAATATTTACAGCGTCTTATCTATGAAGATAATCGCTGAGAACACCCAGAGCATTTTTCCTAAACTCGCTGCACCAAGAAACCACCAGTTCACGCGCGCTGGTGTTTGGCTTTTCACCACACTACCCCGGCATCAGATGAGACGATCCTCCTCGTGATTTACAGCTCACGCGTTTGACCTTAGCCCCTGGTCCGAGCCGCCGACCGCACGGGGGCGGGTATAAATAGCGGACGGCGTAAACCTGTCTGGACGTGAGGCGGCGCTCCCGCACACGTCGGCGCCGATGCCGCTGTTTTCATTAGCGCAAACGGTGACCTGCAGCTGAAGCTTATGCCGACGGCGACAGGTCGCCCAAACAGACCCCGCCGGTCGGCGGCTCTGGTTAGGGGACCCCGTCCGGCCGGCGGCTCTGACCGGAGGCTCCCGTCCGGCGGGCGGCTCTGACCAGAGGACCCCGTCCGGTCAGCGTTTCGGTCCACAGGACCCCGTTCGGTCGGCGGCTGTGACCAGGGGACCCCGTCCGGTAGGCGGGTCTGACCACCGCAGGCTCCCTGGCCAGGAGACGGCGCCTCAGCGACAACGGTCCGTTGCGCTGCTCGCTGGGCGGCTCTCTGCCCTGCGCGCGC